GTGGGGGTGTGCGGGAGGCAGCTGATCGATGTTTCTCTCTCATGGATGTTTCTAACTCTCCCTTCCTCTCTGTAAAGGATCAATAAAATATATTTTTAAAAAATAAATAAATGAACACTTATTTTTATTATTTCAGTTGTCACACGGAGGTAGGAGCTCAAATTTTTCTCTTTCGCTTAGCAGTAGAGTAAGTTTGGTATGAGTTTTGTCCAAATTTCATTAGATTTTAATGCTTTACTTTGTCATTAAATATTTGCTTTAGGCAAGGAACTCTTAAGAGTTGGGGTGAGAGGAAATAAAAAGGTTAATAAGATACTTTATCCCGATTACTAATTCTGTTTAATAGAATACACTAAATTTTAGCAATTTAGAACAACCAATAGTTATTATTTCAGTTTTTATAGATCTGAAATTGACCTAGGTGTTTTAGGTCACTTTTGATGAGGTGTCTATCAAACTTTCAGTTGGGACAGCAATCACATCAGGACTCAACTAGGACTGGAGGATCTGCTGCCAAGTTCACAGCTCCTTAGTTTCTTGTTGGATGTTGGCAGGAGGCCTCAGATCTTAGTCACTTACATAATGCTGCTTCTGACATGGTTGCTTGCTACCCCAGGAGTGAGTGATGAGAGAGAGACAGAGACAGTGACATAGACTTTTTGGAGTGACAATGCTGTGATAGAGGAAGAAGAAAACTTTGAACATAAAGCAACATGGAAAATAATAAAGTCATGATTTTGTATACTCGTAAATTTAAGATGACTCCAGAAATACTTAAAAAATTTACTGAAGAAATTTCCATTCCAGATGTGTTATATGACATATATACCCACATATATCAAAGGCTCATATCCTATGAACAAAAGGTTTATATTTAATTTTAAATGTAGTTGCTTTGCTGGAATTAACAGGTCATATTAGAATCAACTATTTCAAAGAAAATAAAAGTCTATATGAAGTCCTAATTAGCAACAAAATATGCTATCATAGTTAAAGGCCTTAATTCTAGTTTCGTGAATTTTGCATTAGAAAATGAATCTGATGATTTTACTTTTTTGTTTTGTTTTGGGTTTTGGCCACCCATAGTGGGGGTGGAATGAAATTTTTAGAAAAGTTATAAGTAAAATGTACATACTTCTTGATGAAAACAGTCAAGGAAAAAAATACAGTTTTAGCATGCTTCTCTCTTTGAGTATTTTTAAGATTGTATGAATTGTGAGTCCCTTCTTTTTACATTTTAGATTATTTTCTTAAACTACTGCAGCCCTAGCCTGGTAGCCAAGTTGGTTAGAACGTCATCTCAATAAATCAAGGTTGCAGGTTCAAAACCCAATCAGGTCACATATATGAGTCAACCAATCAATGCATAAATAAGTGGAATTGCAAATTGATGTCTCACTCTCTCCCTTCCTCTCTCTCTAAAATCAGTAAATAAAAGAAATTAAATTACATGCCATTCAGTAGTTAACTCTCCCTGCTTAACTGTTACCTTAAAGAATTTTTTT